TACCATCCAGGTACAACACTTGAGCTTCCTGTCATTCCATCTTATAGACAAGTTTCATCTCTTTCTTCAAATGTGTGGAAGCTTCTTATGATGAGATCCTTGTACTGAAAACGTGTGCAGGATATGCTCATAAGCTATGAAGATGATTTACTATAAAGATGTAAGAGGATAACCAAACAAAGTAGGCTGAAGAGTCACTGCCGTCACACACTAATGCATATTTGCAGTCAATGTAATAGAAGACAACCAGGAAGAGCCAGCAGTGAGCTGACCACACTGGCATGCTATAATCAGAGACCAAGTGGCTAATTTAAAGAAAAGTATTGCTCAACTACCAGCTTTAGCCTTAAAACAACAACAAATCATTTACTACTAGACAGGTTATATGTACTCAAGAAAGGGAGGACTTCAGGTTTTTCAAAGTGGGCTTTCCAGTCCTAAGCAGGTCAATAAGAACTAACATCCCTGGCAGCACCTTCAAATCCAAGACATCTTCACGTATCTATAATAATTCATCTATAATCATAAAATTGCCTCAAACACCTCCTTCTTCTTCTCCTCAGTCCCAACACTCTTTAGCCAATTCTAAAGAACACACATAACCACCCTCCACAACTAGTAATCATGTCATTTTGCTAATTAAGTAAAAATCCTCCTTACCAGCAATCCAAGGTTATTATTTAGGGTTTAAACTAATAAGAATTCCTTGCTAACCCCTAACCACAAATTAGTCACAGAACAATGACTGCAGAAGTTGCCTCTAGCTAATGGGTACATCCTCAGACCCTGCAGAAGGTTTTATGGGCCTGGAGCGGCTCAGAATCCGTGTTGAAGATGATGTATATAGTCCAGGAACCCACCCTTAGAGGCTGCATGGTAGATTTGAACATGGATACTAAATGCTGGCCTCTGGCCAACCCTTAATACCCAGTAACCTAAAGAAAAGGTGTTTATAAACTTTAAACCTTTAGAAATATTTCAGAATCAACATAGCACCTCCAAGGTAAGCATGGGCTTACTAAATCTCCTATGACGTTCCCAGAAAATGGCACATGAGCCTGAAGTCCCTTTGGACTTCCCAATAATCTCAAGAAGCAAGATGCAGGGATAATTAACCTCCTGGTGGCACTTAGGAAAAATGACATGGGGGTGGTGGTTAGACTCATCCTAAGAGACAGCTTGCTGTCAGTCTGCAGCTACTTCAGCTATTGTATTGCTGATGTGTGTCAACTTTCTCTCACACATGAAGGGAAGGGAAAAAATGGAATCAAACAAATGACTTCAGCCAATTTTACTTCCTGTATTACAGCTACCTCCTGAAATATTTAAAGCATATAGCAGACACTAAAACCTTATTCAATGAACGAGGAAAGGATACCAAAGATAAGCATTAATCAGTAGCCCATACATGTAAAACATTTTCAAATGAAAAAAACACTTTAAATTTCAATGAAAGGCAGCAAAGTAAACCAAACGCCACAGTACTGGCACATTTTTCACATACGAAGACACATGATGTTCTTGAGCTGATTACCCACATTTACAGGTATGACTGAAAACCTAACAAATAGTTCCTTCCACATCAGCTATGTTTCACACCACAGAACAGAAACTCCCATTGTATTCATCAGCTGAAATGTCTGAAAGATTTTCAAAAGTACTTTTATTGCAAAGTTGAAATGTATTTTAATGTGCTTGCCAGATGTCATGATAAATATAACAAGGCAGAAGGTAAGAGAAAGCCATGAAAACTGGGTAACTCATTTCCTTTTCAATCATTTCTAGTACGAGAGTCCTCCGAACAGTACAGAAAACATCAGTACAGGAAACATCATCCCTCAAACATAAGGCCAAGCAGTACCTCCATGTGAACACATAATAAAACCACCATTGATAAGTAACTAAGCTTCCTCAAAAAATTAAACATAGAATTACCATATGACCCAGAAATCCTCAAAAGATTGTTCTTCTAGGTATATACCCAAAAAAACTGAAAGCAAGCACTCCATCCGATATTTGTACACCAATGCTCACAGCAGAATTATTTGCAATAGCCAAAAGGTGGAAACAATCCAAGTATCCATTGAAGAATGGATCAGCAAAGTGTGGTACATACATACAGTGGAATATGACGCAGTCCTAAAAGGGAGCGAAATTCTGACACAGGCTAAAACAATGATGAACCTTGAGGACACTGTGCTCAATAAGCCAGACACAAATAATTCCATTTACATGAGGTATCCAGAGCAGTTATAGTCACAGAAACAGAAAGTAGAATGGTGGCTGCCAGGGGCTGGGAAAAGAAAAGAACCGGGAGTTATTGTTCAGTAGTGCAGAGTTTCTGTTTGGGAAGGTAAAAAGCGTTCTGGAGATGGATGGTGGTGGTAGTCACACAGCGATGTGATTGCACTTATTGCCACTGAACTGTACACTTAAAAATAGTTTACATGGTAAATTTTATTATGCATATTTTACCACAATTTTTTCAAAGTAACCAAGCAAGAACCATCATCAAATTTTTGTGGCAAAAATATATCAAGAGAAGTGGTCAAAGTCTGTAACAGGCATGCTTCACTGTCATCCTTCAGAGCCTAGACAACTTACCTGAAAGTCAAGGTCTCAGAATAGCCCTGGCTGGGGGGCTCAGTTGGTTGGAGGATCATTCCCTCCCCCACACCAAAAGGTCCTGGTCAGGGTGCCACAGAAGTCAATCAATTGATGTTTTTTTCACACTGATGTGTCCCCACCCCTTTCCTCTCTCTATAAAACCAATAACCCATATCCTTGGGTAAGGACAATTTTTAAAAAAAGTATTCCCAGTTTGTCAAGAATGATAAAAGATTAGATGTTTAAGTTCTTTGTTTTTTTTTAATCTCAGAATACAGGAGGGGTAGACATGTCGTTTTCATGTTGCTACAGATATATACCAATCAACTGAAGAAGCTGAATTATACTCTACAAGAGGTTATTTTTGGTAATGGGTACCCCTTCTAATTCAAAAACAAAAAACAAAAAAACCCTTTTCCTTCCAGTTTCCAATGAAAGCAGCAAGACTGAAATAACCAGTTTTACTTCTAACAATGAATCACAATAGATCCTAAAAAGGGACTTCGAAGTTCCTGATTTTAATATGGTGTTTCTAGAGTGGGAAATTGCAAGCAACAATTTAAAATAACAACAACGATAATAATGTACAAACTTCCTTCACCACTATTAACTGACTTTGTACAAGTTACTTTACCTTTCTAGGCCTCATCTGAAAAATGGGGATAATGCTTACACCTATCTACCTTTAAGAACTGTCTGAAGATCTTATAAGGTAATATATATAAAAAAAACACTGAGTTCAATGCCTGGAATACATAAATGCTCCACAAATAATTCCCACTCCCTTGCCTTTTACTAACATCTGCCCTTTGTTACTCCTGGATCAGCCTCCAGGGCCTATGCTGATGTTTTGGCCAGTAACCTACAGCTCCTCCCTCAGGTCCCAGCTGTTTCTCTCAGCTCTAGTTGTTTCACTTGGGGTTTCTAAGAGCATCCTATCTATATTTAGAAATAATGCTAGTACCAACTGTGGACTCAACAGGTGCTTGGAGAGCACTCAGCAGTTTTCAACTGTTTCCAGTGTGAATTGGTTTTGGCTCCACAACTGGCTGTCTTGACTTCCACAAGGAAGAGCGCCCCGCATGCACAGTGCTTCGGCAGTACACTGAACAGAAAATTAACTGTGCTCACAGGACAAACCCTTAGCAAGATGTATTAGCCCTATTATCAGGACCCCAGATTTGTTAAATTGCAGGAGCAAACATTCGATTAACTCTATAGGTGTAGCCATTAACCCAATCTTCAACTAATATCATATCAGATCCAACTGCAACCAATTCATGCTGCTTGTATACTACAACCAAGATTGTAGGAGGGAGAAAGCTGGAAGACCCACCAGGCAGTGAAGATTTAAAGGCATCCAGCGGAGCCGGGCCTGAATTTAGCTTTACCCACTAGCTCTGTGACCTCCGTAAGTTATTTCATCTCTTAATTTACAAAATAGGAAATAATTGTGAGGATTAAATTAAATGAGATAGCCCCAACTGGTGTGGTGCAGTTGGTTGGATGTTGTCCAGCAAAGCCAAAACTCTCTGGTTAGATTCCGGGTCAGGGCACATGCCTGAGTTGCGGGTTCAGTCCCTGGTTGGGGCAGGTTGATGTTTCTCTCTCATATTGATGTTTCTCTCCCTCTCTTTCTCCCCCAACCCCCTCTCTCTAAAAATAAATAAAATCTTTTTTAAAGAATTAAATGAGATAATGCATCTAAAACAATCTTAGCACCTTGCCTAGCCCACTAAAGAGGTCAATAACGAGCCACATTATCATTAACGAGGATGCTGTACTCACTCCTTGTTTTGTTCAGTTTTTATAACATATAAGAAAAGTGACAATTTAGATCATTAGTTTTGGACCTTTATAGAGTGGTCTAATGCTACCATCCAAGACCTAGCTGCGAAATAAACATAAACTCACAAATTCCCAGAAATCTTAGATGAGTCGGCAAAACTCAATGCCCAACAAACACAAAGCTTAACATGGACTATTTATGAACACACAAAGGTAACTACAATTTCAAAACCAGCAATCTTGTTATCTAATACCATTCAAAATTTAGTCTGGTAATCCAAGTATCAAGGAACTGCAAAGATCATGACTCCAGAAATACTTTCCCACAATATTTTTAAATAAAGTGATTTTTTTCAAATCACCTTCATTCAAACTGGAAGGTGTAAAGCAGCCTGACAATTTGAAATTGTCATCAAGAATTTCTTGAGGCAGCACACAAACTCTCTGCCATGAACTTAAAACTAGTAGCAGACCGTACATGAAATTTTCTCAGTTGAGAAGCTGGAGTTCTAACAAATTACAGATAACTGACTTTATCAAGGCTATTCATCACCTTTTGGTCTTGGTTTTCCCCCAAATACCCTGAACGCTGCATTATCACTGACCTGACTTAAAAGCAAGATGCCTGTTTCTGGTTGTCTGTTCTCTCCTGCTTCATTAACCACAGGTAAGTTACATACATAACCTGAAGAACAGAGAAGAAATTACTATTACAGGCATGCTTTATCAATGAAACGGACTACCAATGAAAAGCAAATTATTAAAAGAACAAGTTATACTCCTTAACAGATAAGCCTGAGAAAGATCCACCTTCTAAAAGAACACCATCATCTTCGATGAACTAGGAGAAAAAAGCCATGTACTCCATACTCTCCAACTGGCTGTACCCTCTGCTTTAATTCAAGCCCAAACCACATTTACTTTATGTCTCTGTTCCACTTTGCATTATTTTTCGTTCCCGTCCTCCCCTCAACTCCAAGAATGCTCTTCTATCTCTTATTTTCAAATCCCACTTGGTCCCCAAATCTTTTTTTAAAAAATGATTTAGAGAGAGGAAGAGACTGGCTGATTCTTATATGTGCCCTGACCGGGCATCGAACCCTCAACATTAGCTTATGGGGAGTACGCTCTAACCAACTGAGCTACGTGGCCAAGGCCTTCACTTTGACCCCAAATCTTAAGGACCTCTGGCACCCACTCAGATAACCTTACGCATCCCAACTGTATTCTCAATTCATTGTACTTCTCCGAAAATAACCCATTCTTTCATTATTTCCCATCTCTTGTTGTTTCTTAAAATCCAATACCCCCTACCTCAGAGAACCCCCTCACTCTATTGTTTCCCCGGCCTATGCCTCTGGAAACACCCCAACTCAGACCAGTGTGCTCTGGCTCGCCCCAGACCCCACAAACCTTTCACCATCTGGGCACTCCAAGTCCCAAGGGCTCCCGCCGCCACCTCCCCGTACCCAACCCCCAACAACTACCCCTTCCCCCGTGCTCTCCCTCAAGCCCGCTCTCTGCACCTCTGTGCCCCTTTATCCGCCACCAACCTCCGCCGCCCAGCACGCTCTGCTTCACCTACGGCGGGCCCCCGCAGTCGCCGCGTCCCCCCAGTTCCGGGCTCTGCGTCCCGGACGCTCCAGGGTCTGAGAAGTGGAAAGGAGCTCCGCCGCCTGCTCGCCTCTTTTAGAGCCGGCGACGTCGTCGCCGCGCTGCTCCCTCGGCTCTCCCCGAGTCGGACGCCGCCCCGCCTCCGCCCGCCCCTTTCCCTGCTTCCCTGCTCTGCCGGCCGGCGGACTGGGAATCGCTGCCGCGACTAGGGGCCAGAGCGCCAGCGGATCCACACCGACCTCGCCAGGGCTCGAGCTACTCGCCCCGCCCCGGATCGCGCTCGGGCGCGTGCGCGAGCGCCAGCCAGCGCTCAGGGCGCGTGCTCGCGCCGGCGCGAACCTGGCGTGCCTGTGGGAAGGCGCTGGGAGGGGGTGTTCTCTGGTCTGTCGGGTTACCGTTCTTCTCGCGACTAAGTCCCTCGCGCCTGAATTGAGGGAGCTTGGGCGTCGCGGAAGATTGGGATAACAAGAAAGGGGAAGGGTTGGAGGAGTGGCTCGGACACACACTCTTAGATAGAAGTGGCGGTGTGTGGGACGCGAACTCGCGCCTACGTGCAGAACTGCCATTGCCCAGAGAAAGCCAGCGGCGTGTGGGTGGGGGATAGCGAGCTGGGAGTGCTGCACCCCAGCTGGAACTGCCGGAAAGAGCCGAAACTCTATCGGAGGTGGCCGAAGGCGGGCGGCGCCTCCAGGGGAAGCGTGCGAGGGGCTTTTCTCCGTTGGTCCTGGCTGGGATCTGGTCAGTCAGATCACCCTCCCTTTCGCTGCTTACGTCTTCACCCCGTGAATTTTTCCACCACTTTTCTCTTTGCCTCTTTCCAAACCCAAGTTTTACAACAAAAGGCCATTTCAGAGCTACCGGCTGCGAGGAAACTCTGAGACGTCCGGATTTGGCGGCCGCTCGGCCTCCTGGGAGGCATGGAGGCCGGTGCGGAGTGGGGCAGGGAGGAGGCATCGCTCAGGCCTGGCGGCACACAGCAACCTCTGGAGCGGGTGGGGGTGTTCTCTACCCCGGCCACGTACCCCCAACACACCGTCCAAGTCCATTGCTGAGTTGGTTTTCTGATATCAGCTGTCTGCATCCATCTCTGCAGTTGTGGTCAATCTCACCATCCGTCGAATCTTTCTGTTAAATATTCCCCTGTCTGTGGTCAGATTCCCAACCTCCTCAAGGCAGGAACTATTTTTAAAAGATTGTATTTATTTTTAGAGAATGGAGAGGGAGGAAGAGAGGGAGAGAAACACCGATGTGAGAGAAATATAGATTGTTGCCTCTTTTACGCCCCCACTCTTGACGGGACCAACCGCAACCCAGGCTTGTGGCCTGACAATCGAATCTGGGATCTTTGGGGACCACGCCCAACCAACTGAGCCACACTGGTCAAGGATACAACCCCTAACACCTGTGTACCTTCTTAGCCAATGTCCTGCGTATGTAAAGCACTCGCCCCACTGGTCGGCCTCGTATTAGGAGCGGCTACAAGCTGAGAATTTGGGTAATCAGCATTAAAAAAATCAATCAGGGCCCTGGCTGGTGTGGCAAACCGAAACACCACCTGTCTAATTCCCAATCAGGGCACATGCCTGGGTTTCAGGCCAGGTCCCCAGTTGGGGGCAAGCAAAAGGCAACCACACAATGATGTTTCTCTCTCTCTCCATAAAAATAAGTAAATAAAATCTTTTAAAAATACAATAAAATAAAATTAATCAGGATCGGTCACCATATTATCATCCTTTGAGGCCAAAGCATAAGGGGATCTGGACAAATCTGAGAAGGTATATGAATGCATATAGTCACAGGCACAATGCAGTGTGGGTTTCCACATACTAGTTATTGCAGTTGCAGTAAACGTTAGTGGAGTAGTATAATAAATCTCTACAAAGTTATTGGTCCTTGATTTTTAACTTTGCATGGCATGAGGCTTCAAAAATACCTTGGAGCTCACTGATCCCTGGTTAATAATGCCTAATCTAATCCAACCATATTATTTACAGATCTAAAGAAAAAGAAGAAGTTAGTCATCCAGCTAGTTAGGGCACTACATCATGTGCTGCTTCCTACTGAATTCTTTCAAAGATTCAATTAGAAGCAGACCATCCAAATATCATTCACTAAATTGCCATAAATACCCAATGAGTGGTAGGCATTGCTCTAGGCAGTGGGTCACTCACAAAGAAGAATAAAACAGTATCATTATCGCCAAGGAGAGTATCTACTTATAAAGGAGGGTATAAGCTAGTAAATAATTCATTGTAATAACGTGGTAAATGCTGAAACAGAAAAGTGCAAAGTGGAATGAATGACAAATTCACAATTCCCCTTCCTCCCATACAGAATGGGAACAGGACAGTAAGTTCTAGTTTATAGGAAAGTTCATACTAAAGAATGGGACCTGAACCAATAGGATCCCAAGATCTTATTTCATAATGACTGATTTCACTTACCAAAAGTCACTCCAGAAATGCCTTCGTTATAGGGCCTGTTGCTACTGCAACCCAATGTAGTTTCTTTGGGAGGAAAAAAAAAAAAACAGCCTCACTCTTTGAAACGTTATGGTCTGTTTAGGAAAAACATTGATGTCTCTCCTAAGAGAGCCCCTGATCTAACAAGAAAGAGTTGTTTTCTATGTGGGTATCCCACCCAAAGAGAAGAGAGATGGACTAAAGAGCACACACTTAGGCCCAATCTAGGAGAGTTGTCAAACATCATTGGAAATCTAATGGGATGAAGAATATCTTATTTAACAGATCTCCTCCAAGGCAGAATTCTGAGTGTGGTTGAGAGGAACATTTTGTTACATCCATGGGGTGGCAGTAAGGGTAGTCTCCTCCCAAGGATATTACTCAAAAAATAGGCCTCCAAGGAGGGCAGATGACATAAGGCATATGTCTCACTGACTGGGGTTTGCAAGTACCCCTACTGCAACTCATGCCTCACCTTTGCCTTTTCTCTATGCAGCACTCAACCTCTCTAAGAGGACATTGAACAGATCTTGTAAAAATACCTTCCGTCCCTGACTGATGTGGGTCGGTGGGTTAGGCATCATTCCCGAAACCTAAAAGGTATAATTCCTGATAGGGACACATGCCTGGGTTACAGGCCAGGTCACCACTTTGGGGCCTGGGAGAGGCAACTTATCCAAGGATGTTTTTCTCCAGCTTTAATGTTTCTGTCCTTCATTTTCTCCCTCCCTTCTCCTCTCTCTAAAATAAATAAATAAAATCTTAATTTTAGAAAGTACCTTTTGGCCCTGGCTGTTGTGGCTCAGTGGATTGAGTGCTGGCCTGTGAACCAAAGGGTCACCGGTTCAATTCCCAGTCAGGGCACATGCCTGGGTTGCAGGCCAGGTTCCCAGTTGGGGGTACACAAGAGGCAACCACACATTGACAATCCTCTCCCTCTCTTTCTCTAAAAATAAATAAATAAAATCTTAAGAGAAACTTTTTGGAACTAGGTTACAAAGATTAATTTTATCATTGTTCTTTATGCTACCTATACATTTTTAATTTTGTAAGCTATACTTCACAATAAAGTGGTTGTTGCCTGCTTTGAAATAATTGCAAATTGTTTAAAGTCTGTCTATAAATTATATTGGAGGAAAATGAATGCTGTAATAAATTCAACATATAATTCTTGTGACCTACTCTGAAGAAAACAAAACTAAAAATAATTCCTGAAATTATTAGAATAACTAAGGATTACAAAAGAAGATCATTTTGAAATAACATCCATATGTCTCAGTTCAGCCTTAAGGGAATTAATTTATCCCAGGTTACCTAATGATCCAGTGGAAAGACTAGAGCCAGAAATAAATCATGACATAATCTTCACCTTGGCAGATATATTCTGCAGATATTAACCTGACCTAATTTTATATGTTTCAAATAGATCCTAGAGATGAGAACTTTTCTTGTGTTTTTATTTTGAATTGATATTTTGTATCATTGCCAGATCTGTTTTAATGAGGAATAGAAAGAAGCTAAACTTAATAATCTGAGAAACTTAAAATTTTTACTCATTATCTTGGAGACTTGATAATCAATGACTAACTGAGAAACATGATTTTTCAAAGTCTCTGTTGACTAGAGATAAAGCTACAAGCCACAGCAGGCATGAAGATGAGCAGAGAACATCTCAAAAGGGCATACTTTGCCCTTTGCTTGGACTGCTTCTAATACCAAAGCCTGTTCATGTTGGCAGTCCAAACTGTGTGCCTTAGAAAATTAGTTTCATGGGATGCTAAGTAGATGTTATCTGAAAAAAACTATTCCTGCCCTGGCAGGTAACTAAATTGCTTAGAACATCATCCCCATATGCCAAGGTTACAGGTTCAATCTCTGGTCCAGGCACATACAAGAATCAACCAATGAATGCATAAATAAGTGGAACAACAAGTCGATGTTTCTCTCTCTCTCTCTCTCTCCCTCTCTGTCCTCCCTGCCCTCCCTCCCTCCTTCTCTCTGTCTCTCCCTCTCTCTCTCTCTCTCTCTCAAATCAACAATTTTTTTTAAATGAAAAAACTATTCCAGGTCCAAATAAGTTTAAGAAACACTGGGTAAAATCAAGTTAAACTGGTTGCTTTACTTCTCAGACCATTTGATATGGTAATGTGCTATACAGTATGCAACTTTCTCCCAAGGAAACATTTTTTCTCCCAAGAGACTTCTGTCCAAGTTTAATGTTTCTTTGAACATCAATTTTATAAAGTTCTATTAAAGGGTTTCAATGAGATCTGCATTCCCATTTGATAGATTACAAAACTGAGGTCCAAAAGACATAGGTAAGATATCCAAATTCAATTGTGTATCAGATGTTTAGAGCTGGAAAAATCTTTAAATTATGAAAGATAAACTTATTACATCACAAAATTAGTGGCCATGTCAGAACCAAAACTCAGATTTTAAACACTCAATTCAGTGAGAGTATCTTACAGGTTCAGTAAAAACCTTAATTTGATCTTTAGTGAATTTGTTCCTATGTGTAAGATGTATAACTAATCCTGCTTTTGTATAAGTTCATTCATGTAATTTCAGCATACTCTTTCATTTATACAGCCTGTCACCATTTGTAAAAAATTGGTAATGCCTATCCTCTGTATGTTTTTTGGTTTATAAACCACTCTCAATGCATTGTTTCATTTTACTATCTGAGCTTCCCTGTGAGGCAGACATCATTATTCCCATGTAACAAATAAGGAAACTGAGGCTTTAAGTTGTTAAATAACAAGTTAATCCATTTAGTAAATGTCCT